TGAAAACATTCTAGCACATAAATATATTTTCAGTGGTTTTAATTATCAAAATCATATATTTTAAATCATTTTTCATAAATTAAATGGTGGCGAATATAGGTACAGGAAATAACACGATTTTAATTATCGCGAAGTTTCCTTGGTAGTTTGAAAAAACAACCGATTTTAATTTTCGCCACCTGCAGGTGACGGTATACATACAAAAGGTAGTATACTCTCGGATGTAAACAACTTTTTTATTATAAATGTTGAGAGTAAAGAATATTACTTTAAAGTTTCACTTCAAATCACAGCTTTTTTTTTCCTTGATTTGTTTTCCGTCGATCTTGTTTTCCGTTCTGAGCACCAATGCTACCAACCAGCTCCCACACCAGGACCCTACATATCGACCCATCAACTCATGAACCGGGTACCAACGGCTTTACTTCCATTCCGAAGGAAGCCATGATCAGAGATGTTATGCCTCAGAACATACCGGCGGCGCCGACTGGGATTGAACCCAGGCCTGCTGGGGGTGAGAGGTAATCACGCTTACCACTACACCACCGGCACCGCTGAAATTTTATAATGTCGATGAATTCATTATTCTATTAAAGATAAGCTTTTCGTAAAGTAATAGGTATACCCTTTTTAACATGAGTAGTTCTTTTGAGTTTTGATGATCTTATTCTTTTTGCACAGTAAACGCAGCTTGTCATAAAATTAAGACTATTGAGAATTTAAAAAATATGAGATTTTTCCTTCTTCTAAACATGAGCAGTTCTTTTGAGTTTTAATGTTCTTATTATTATTTTTTTTGCACAGTAAACGCAGCTTGTCATAAAATTAAGACAAATCAACAAACAAAAATATGGGATTTGTCCTTCTTTCAAACATGAGCAGTTCTTTGGAGTTTTGTTGTTCGTCATTCGGCCAAATGACCCGGAACCGTTCAATTGATGTTGACAGTTGAATCACTAATATTTTTATTTTTTTATCTCGAAATTGTCATAGACCTATCACAAATTGTCAGAGGTTTCATAAAAAATCTAGATCCAATATTCTGGCTATTTTACTTGAGATCTTTAATGTTTTCCAAGCCAGGTCTAGGAAAAATTTCAAGCTCTCGACATTTTTTCAAAGGCCAGCAATTTGAAAAATCTTTAACTTACTAAGCTTTATTATTTATACAAACACCGAGAAAAAATCATGTCACAGAACCTTTAGTACCGTTTTAAGTCCATTAATTTGTATTGATTTTTTTTGTCGTACCAATAATCCGGTAAAACGGAAACAAATTTCCAGGTCCAGGTTTTAGAAAAATAAAAAAAACATGTCCATGATCATAATTTTTTTCTTTATTTTAGGAGCATTTAAATTGTTCAAAAACTGTGAACTTACGTTTTCAGACCGCACTATGTTCTCGATTTGTTTATCTTAAAGATCTCGACTTTTTAAGTCCCAGCAATAAAAATATGGTCCAAAGCTCTAAAATGAATCCCAAAATCATCTCTAATTTTTCACGATCGAGATTTTAATTTTAATTTTAAATTTTGTTTTATGTCAGTGAAAAGAAAAGTTGTCTAGGTCCCAGAGCTATGTTTTTTTTCTCTACGTCTTTGTCTATGTCTATTGTCTTTATACGCAGTAAGTTTAGTAAAGTTGTGATTTCAAATTATTGCTAAATGAAGCCGAATAGTTTGCGCGGAGCTGTTGTTGAACTTTTTCGTCACGGAAAAACTGTGTCAGAGATTGCCAACTTGACGACTTTGGCAAAGTTGTTTATCTTGATAAAATAAACAACTCTTCTTAAAACTTCACAGTCTACTGTTTTCAAGTTAAATGGAATTACAGAAAAAAATCTGAAAATAAGTGTTTTAATTTTAAATATATTGTTTAAATGCATATACCTCGAAAACAGTAGGCTGTGAAGTCTTAACGTCTTAAGAAGAGTTGTTTATTTTATCAAAATAAACAACTTTGCCAAAATAGCGGCGCCGGTGGTGTAGTGGTAAGCGTGATTACCTTTCACCCCAGCAGGCCTGGGTTCAATCCCAGTCGGCGTCGGGAAGTAAAGCCGTTGGTCTCCGGTTCATGAGTTGATGGGTCGATAGGTAGGGTCCAGGTGTAGGAGCTGCCTCCCTGGCGTCGGTAGCATTGGTGCTCAGCACGGAAAACAAGATCGACGGAAAACAAATCAAAGGAAAAAAAAAAACTTTTTAAAAGTCGTCAAGTCTTTAAAACGCCATTTCAATGCATTAAAAAAAGTTATAGAAAAAAAATCATGTTCCACTAAAATGAAGAAATCTAAAAAACACCAAAATATACCTCTCTCAAATTTTAATATTTTTTTTTGACTATATGTTTTTTTTTAGTATTACTCCTACGTGAAGTCAACGATTTACATAGTTGAAGATGCTAATTTCAAATAACAGACTGTAGTGGTAATTTTTATACGATAGATGGAGTAGATGAAAGCATAGAGTTGATAGTTCCGTTAGAGTACGGCAGTGTGAAGATTGTATATAGATATTAGACAAGCGAGCTAGGACAACTTTTAAGGAAGGTACAAATCGGTTTTTTCATCTCTCTTTACCAAACTCCCCCTTTGGAGAGGGATGGTGAGGGGTGCCCCCCCCCCCGCCACCACTGGCAAAAGAGATGAAAACCGACCCGCTTATGTACCAACTGTGTGTTTGAAACAGTTCTACCGATTTTTTACTGCACTTCAGTTGTTATTTGAAGGAAGGCTTCCAGTCGTAGGTTTGGAAATTGCAACTATTGTTTACCCCTACCACGATATGTGCTCCTGTAAACAATAGTTGCAATTTCGACATTTTTTTTGTGCTTTGGGATATATAGAAGTTCAAAAATTGTTGTTTTTTTTTCGTTTTTTCAACAATATCTTTAAAATTTGAAGCTTAATCCAGTATGTTTCTTCAGAGAAGTTATTTATTTAATGCATTTGCATAAGAGAAAAATACAACATTATATGGTTGTAAGCAAAAACCCAAAACAGACCGAAAAAACCATATTTTCGACAATTTTTTTTAACTCCATATAACTTGGAACCAGTAGGCTGTGGAAATTTCACGTCTTTGAAAGAGCTGTTCATTTTGTCAAGATAAACAACTTTGCCGAAGACATCAAGTCTCCAAAACGTCAGAGAAAGAAGTTATAAGCATAATGCATGATTTTATTACGAGCACTATTTTCTTTTTACAAGAGCAATTCATTTTTTTAATGTTAGGGCAAATGTATACTCCTATTCTACGGGTGCAACGGGTGCAACAGATGAATTTTACAAACATTTGGAAAAGTTTTGAATGGTACATTAACCTTTATGAAAAGTTATGCGTGATTTCAACTTTTTTGTCCTAGAACTGTCACCATTCCATGTATTTCGACCAATGGAATGGTGAGGAAGCACACTCTTTACAGCTTGTGACATCCACAGAAAATGCAGCGGCATTTTTTTTATCTTGGTTGGAGTTATTCACGAAGGTTTGCGGCTGACTGTAGCAAATAAACGGGCACATGCTAAGAATCTTGTTGATTTTCCTTGCGCTCCGCTTGGAAATACCGGAAAGTTCTGATTCTTTTCTATGTTGTAGAAATAAACCGCACATTTACACTTCTGACAAGTTGCAACTGAATGCTTATAATTGTTTTAAAATAACTGTTTCATGGCCAACTAGCTTTATTGCGCTTACTTATATAGCAATATAAGGATTTATTTTTGGGTCTTATAACGGCAATTCATATTGTTTTTTTTTATACTTCAAGGCAATCATAAAACCTTTAATAAGTGAAAATAGCATAAGCATCAGTTGGTTTTTTTATAAGCTTTATAGGGGTTTTGTAGATAGCTATAAAATGTTCCATGACTTGCATTGTATATGACCGTCATAAAGCTGTAGGTAATGGTTGCAGCTGCAATAAAACCTTTATGAATTTTGAATATAGCCAAGCAGCTCTAGATTTGTTACTTGGGAATGAAAGATAATTTCATAACCATTTTGTTGCACGGATTATATTCGGATACAATGTATTCTTGGGATGACTGGACACGCTAACCCGCTATCCTATTTTTTTATTAAAATACTCATTTAGTTCTAGTCTGCAGTTCTTCCCGTTGCTAAGCGCATCGCTTCATCTATATGCTAGATCTTTAAAATTGATTATCCTAAAATTATTAAAATTTAAACAACTTTGTGCCTCAATATCAACTAAGTAAATTATTTGTTTCAAAAAATCGAGGTAGACAAAAGAGTACAGAGTGAGTTAGAAGTGGAAGTAAGAATTGTACCATGCTCTTGCTTGTTCAATTCATACTTATTTTTCGATATCAAATTTATAGGATCCTTAAACCATTTGTTTTATTTTTTAGAAACATGAGAAACGCGCATGATGGGTTTGTGAGCTTATAAAACTTCTCGAAGTGGAAATCGCAATCCACGTAATATTGGGGAAAAAAATCCGATTAATAGATGTCACTGTTCGTCACATTTTTATTGATTAAAAGTCACTATTTGGTCACTATTTTCGTTATTTTAGTCACTAAAGTCACTATTATTACATCACATACCCGCTACCAGCTCAGTAAATGTCATTTACCGGAATATCTGGATTTATTGAGTATGAGGCGAAAATTAAATCCGTTTAGTGGCGAAAATTAAATAGTAGAGGTGATAATTGAAACAAATAACCGTTTAAGAAGTTGCATTTATTTGCATGTATCAACCTTTTTTTCGCTTTCAACACATCGATTAATGCAAAACAAATGTAATTTCTATAAATTTGATGATATAACTTATTCGCAGTTTGATGATATAACTTATACGCAGTTTTGGGTGGCAAATTATAATGCTTTTACCCTATATCCATCAGATACAGGAAACACTGTTTCATCCTATTTTTAAAGTTAATATCGCATAGAACTGAAAGGAATAGACAGTCTCTAACAAACATGTTTCATCCTTTTATTTTCAGCACTATTCTAGCACTTTAAATTTGTAACCATGAAGAAATCTTCTACACAACAAATTAACAAACCTACTGTGACAAAAAGACTCCCTTCAACCGCACTGAAACCAGAAGATAATCAAGATACAAATAAGAAAGTTAAAAAAACAGAACCGGTGCCTAAAACAAGCACTCGATCTAACGTTAAAAAAGTACCTCCTCAGTCATCACAACCGACTGCAAGCAGAACTGAGAAAAAGGATAAAAGCGATGCTGTCAAGCCAAGGACGCAAACTAATCCTAAAGCAAGTCTAAATCAAAGTAGAAAACAAATTCAAATTCCAAATTCAAATTATGCTACTAAAAAACCATCAGCTGGAGACTTCAACGTTACCGTTTTCTCTCCACCAAGCGCTCGTAAGGCAGCACCTAAATCAACGAAGGAACAATTGACTTCATCAACAACAACACGAGATCGAACTCGTACCAGAACGTTGAAACCAGAAGAAGTCACAGTAATGAAAAATATTCCCCAAATTACAGATGAAGTTGGCAAAGAAAAAGCTAAGCCACCACCTATCGCGTTCGATATTCAGTTTGAAAACAATAAACGGAGTTCATCTTCAAGTGCCAAAAAACAGATTGCCAATAATGTGGTTGAAACAGATAATGATGAGGACGAGTACGACTCAGAGTTTGAATCATACGAATCTGATTTTGAATCAGGATCGTCAAAAAAATCCTCCTCTTTATCTGCACCTTCTAATAAATCTAGCTCATCAGATTCATCATCATCTACCGATACCGATGGGTCGTTCAGTTCTGATGAAGAGCACAGAAAATCAAGAACGAGCAACGAACAGAAGCTAGACTCTGGAAACTATGAAATGAAATTAAAGCGATTGCTAACGACCAACGATAACAGTATCACATTTGGCAATTCATCGAAGCAAGATGACAATCAGCCTGATTCTGGTATGAATAGCGGTTTGTTTGAAACTCAGCCTGCTTCAAACAGTGGTAAATTGCTGCATAAGCGTTATGCAGACATATTAGATAAAATTTCGTTCAATACGATGGCATTCGAGCTGTATGAAGATGAACCGGCGCCGTATGAATACTTTGTCAAGAACTATGGCATGGTAAAGGGTGTACAAAGTCAAACCCAAACTGAAACAAACTCCAATTCATGTGAAACACAAACCGACAACATCTATCGTAAATCTTGTTGGATTCAATATCCACCCCAGTTCTCTATATCGTGCCTCAATAACATGAATACTGAACCAGACAGATATACAACAGAGAAGTTAGGTGTAGGACAAGAAAATTTCCACGATACAGGTACCACTTCTCATCAAGACGATATTTTCTCAGATTTTCTAATAAATCTTGAGTTCAGCAAAATGCAAACTATTAACAAAACACGGCTATCTAACAATTTGAGTTGCAGCTTTGGTGATCTTTGCAAATTTTTGGAAAAATCCTTACAAGTGGTGGAAAATGTACTTATACGAAACGTTGAGAGCTGTGATAAACCCAAAAGCAAAACTGTACAATTAAAACTACAAAACTTATCGGACAACAGTACAGTAACTGCTGCACACTTTGACGTGAATTCCCACCATGTGCTCCTTACGCTTCACGAGTGCAATGTAGAAAAATCACATCATAGATATGTAGTCAGTGTTTGGGATACCAGAAACTGCGTTAGGCCTAAAGCCGTTCTTTCATGCTGGAGCACTGTAGTGTGCACTGATAGAATTGGTCCAATCGTCGTAGCAGGAACGGCCGATGGGTAACATTTTAAATTATAAAATAAAAAGTAACTGTTAACTACAATAACTTCTTTTTTTCAGAACATTGTGCCTTTGGAATATCACTGAGAGTAGTCAGGAGATTTCTCCATTTCAGCTCATTAGCCCTATACTGACTAACGATATTGAAAACTGCCACTACGGAAGCGTTGTAGCAGTTCGAACAGCAAATTCAGGAAACGGTTGCAGTAACTTAATTTCACTTCAGGTATACGAATATTACTACACAGTTCGAAAAAAGTAGTGTAAATTTCTGTTCAGTATGATGCACATAAATGGAGCGTCACATATCATATAAGTTTACATAATATATCATGTAAAGATCTAAGACATTTCATGCAATGTAGCAAATATTGCATACAAAAGCCCATTTTTTTAAACAACATTGTTTACAAGTTGCTCGGTTGAGTGAAATGAAAAACAAGTTTACGTGAATGAATGTTTACATCACTATTAAAATTCAGAATTTTTAACTGTGTAGCGTTGTACACGTTACAGTTCCATATTATTTGCTGTTCTTATGGAATGAGGGAAATTTACGCATATAACGGTATAGTAAAAGCTATCCATATATGTACCACGTGAACATTTTATGGGGGTGGAGGAGATGGTTTGGCAGATCTCCAGTACCCATCACAGTGTATTCAACAGATGGCGGTAATGTTTTAGCGACTATGTTTTACAGTGAGAAATATTCAATGTGTTATGTCTGTTTGTCTGTGCTTAAGGGCTTCAATTAGACATATAGGGGAAATGCAGGTAATATCGGCCTAAAGTTCCACAATTTGGGCCCATACATAAATTCAGCAATCGACTAAATTTTCAATAGCAACTAAAAATATCCATTACTAACGTCCCAATAACGCGTTCATCTAGATAAAATTGATAAATAGCAGATTTTTAGCGATGGGCCCAATCTTAGATCCATAGGCCAACAGATACATTTCCCCTAATATAGAAAAAATAATTTATTTTCAGATTTTTAGAAGTATACATAGATTTAAAAAAAGCTCAATTTGCAAAAAAAACATTTTAAGATTGTATGCGTATACCTCCCGGTGGAAAATTTTGAAAATCATCATCACTCACTTTCATAGTTTTTCTATTCTCCACGGGAGCCAACTTTGATTTTCCAATTGGTGATCTAACAATAGCCCTCGTGGCGAAAAGTTTTAGTTTAAATCTACAGACTTTTCCAACCCCGTATGCATGACCAAATTTATTTATTTAATTCTTTATTCGTAACATTAAAGCATTATAAAATTATTCTCCCATCAACCCCATCATCATTCTTTTAGTTCTCCTATTTTCCACAAGTGGTGCTTTATGTTATCGTTAGATCGCCAATATCATTTTGTCATGTTTTTTGATGAACTTCAGTTTTTACTAGAGTGAAATAAATATAACCAAAACGTTCTAGTACTTTTGAAGAAAATGCTAGTACAATCGAGTTTACGAGCCGCTCCGTCTGTCACTTCGTTTGTGCTATGCAGTGCCCTTAGTTTGTGCGAATTTGAGTAAATAGTCAGTCTCAACGGCCGTAATGGGGGCCATTGCGTGGAGAATTCGAGGCACGTAATTTAATTCACCTTATTTAAGGTACTCGAGATGTATTGCATGCCAAATATTATCGTCGATGTTATATGAAGAGCCACATGTGAAAAGAGCATACAAGCCTTTTGTAAACAAACCTTTTGTCGCTAACTGAGGGTCGCTCACGCAAACCAACAACATCATCGGGAAGGGGTAAGTTTTCCCTCCCCGGTGATGTTGATGGTTTGCGTTGGTGTAATATGGGTGGTTGGAAAAGGGCATAAGGTTTGTTTACAAAAAGCTTGTATGCTCTTTTCAAATGCTGTTCTTGATATTATTATGCTAATTAATCGTTCACTCAACACATTACCAGAATCTTTAATATTCTATAATACTTTCAGGTCCTCACACTATTCGTATCAGGTGTACTTGTAACATGGTCAATATCAAGGGCAGATCAAGTATCAGACACCGGCAATGATCTAAATCTAAACACAATTTTTCATCATGCCAACTTAAGGCTTATTCAGCAACACGTTTTGAAGCTCTTCTCTATCCAAAAACGACTAGTACCACATCAATTTTCTGTTTCAAATAGCTTTCAAAAAGGCAGTCTCGAAGATTTATTGAACTCAAAAAATAACTCAACGGACGAACATACTAAAGATGAATTAGGTCTAAGCAACGATATGGTTATTTGTCACAATAAAGCAATTATCCTGTTGAATCGTCAAATCATCATTGTCAATTGTAATGAGCAGGAAGCTTCTCTTATTTTGAAGAATCAAGGTACTGTTCAATTCAAGCAATTGACTAAATATTTTTAATCATTTGCTGATTTCAGATATCATAACAAATTTCAAGGAGCATCCAAAAGCTAAAGGATGCATGTTTATGCTTGCATCGGATAATACAATTAAAATCATGAGAATATCCAAACACTCAAACATTGCATCTACCCAGAACGATTCAAACGTGCATAACGCAAAACAACACAGTTCTCATTCCAATTTGAAGTTAAGTCCTGTTTTAAACAACAAGTCATGCACAATTCAGAATATAGTAAAAAATGAACGAAAGTTGTACCATGAGGCTAGCAGTCATGCCGACGGCCTTGCTAATCCACTAAGTGGTAATGTTGATAATAACCCCCTTAACAGTCACCAAGAACATAGGGAAGCAGAGCCGGTACCTTTTTACCACAATCAGCTATTTTTCCTCAAACAACCAAACCAGATTAATTCAAGGCTTCATTTCCTCAACCAAGGACAGATACTTTGCGTTGGAGCTGACAGAAACGCAAAATTCATTGACCTAAAAACCGGCCATGAAAGTTATTTAAGTGATTACATTGCAACTGATTCCTGCAATCGCAGACTGCTCGCAACAACAGACAAACAAGTGGTAAGTGGCATTTATTACCAGTCAAACATACTAAAAGCAATAAATTATTTCTCGAGTTAAAATTCATGCGTTTCATTTTCAGATAATGACAACAGATGGACGGGAGATTTATCTGCACGACATATGTGGCAACATGAAAGGGTCGTAAAATGTTGATCATAATAAAATATGTAAAGTTTTGACATTACAATCCTATCTTTTGTAACAATATCACAACCTTTACCTACATTTCACATAATATCACAAATATCACTATTTTTGCCCGTGTGGTGCCTGCTTAACAGAAGTTTACAGTCTATGTTTATTTATTACAAATTATATATATATGTATATACAAAGGATGCGAACGGCCCGCAGACCATCGCCCACGGCGACGTAGTAAACGGTAGATTTTGTAATAATTATATCCAATTTCCTATCGTACAGTTCGTAGTCAAAGGATCTAAACCAAGAGAATGAGTGTTATCTACTCCGAGAGTTTCGTGTCCTAATCTACAATACAATCATATCAAGCTTCTGAATATTTCAGTAGGACGGAGACGAGCCAGCCAACGGCTGAAAGTCTCCTTAATAAAGATATTAAAAAAAAAAAAAAAAAAAAAAAAAAAAAAAAAAGATCAGTAGGATCGAGAGTGGGATTCAAGTTAGTGTGAGGGTAAATGACCTTACTCTTAAACAGGGATCAAGAAACACAAGGATGCAATTGATGTATTTATCGCCATCGCCGTTGAATTGATGGTTTCGACGATTGACCGTGGAAATGACGGGCAAGTGCTTTGGATCTCCCTCGAGCAGTGCTGTAAATTCTCAAAATCAATTGAACATTTTTGATGAAAATGAGAAAAGCAGCTATCCGCTATCAAAAGGGACCAAGAAGGGGACCTCCTTCGAATGGGTGATATCAGTTGCTTAGTCATTTGACGAAGGCATGGATCATTCTCAATTGAGAAGCGGCGTCGGTTGTGTAGTGGTAAGCGTGATTACCTCTCACTCCAGCAGGCCTGGGTTCAATCCCAGTCAGCGCCGCCGGAATGTTCTGAGGCATAACATCTCTGATCACGTCTTCCTTCGGAAGGGAAGTAAAGCCGTTGGTACCCGGTTCATGAGTTGATGAGTCGATATGTAGGGTCCTGGTGTGGAAGCTGCCTCCCTGGCGTCGGTAGCATTGGTGCTCAGCACGGAAAACTAGATCGACGGAAAACAAATCAAGAAAAAAAAGAGAAACGCTTGACATCATTCAATTGAGTGTAACCTACACATAAACGGAGCTCGGGTCGACATTCCGGTGGAAAAGCTAAGCCAACGCACAGTGGTCCAGAATGCAGATTTAGGTGGAATGATATGTTTTGAGCCTGAAATTGAAACTTTAGACTAAAAGTCTCTTCTACAAAGTTGTTCCTTATAGTTAGGCCCTCATTTTTATGACAATGAATTCTAGGGTGGTTCCTATTATCATTAAAATAAAAAATCTAACTTTTTAGTTTGAATAAATTAAGGTATACATTCTTCGGCAAAGTTATAGCTGAGCTGATTTCAAGCAACTTTGTTGAACACAACTTTTTTGTATCTCTTAAATTGACCGATTTAGAGCTATTTTCTTGAATTGAGTTAGGGTGGCTCTTAAAAAAAACAGTTTTTTGCTCTAGTTTTCTTATTTAGAATTTCTCAGCAAAGGTGTCTTCAGATAACTTTTAGATCTTAAATAGGCGCAAATTTTTGCTGCACAAAATTTGTCGATATATTTCGCCGATCAAGAGTTATTGACGTTTTTATACTAAAAATATGCACTTTTCAAATGTTAATATCTCTGGTTGGGGCAAACAAAAAAAAGTTTTCTTACGGCATTTAAAAGGGCGTATGTTATTCTCAATAATATGACAAAATTGGAGGTACGTTATTTTTTAAACTCGTATAAAATCAATTTGAATTTATTCGTATTATTTACTATATTTGGGTATATCTTTTTTTATTAGAAGAGATACAGGCAACAAATTCGGCTATAAAACATTCGTCTTAAGGAGTTTTGAAATGCTCTAGAAGATAACTTTCATGAGAAATTTCAAATAAAAAAGTTAAATGTATACCTTAATTTATTCAAACAAAAAAGTTAGATTTTTGATTTTAATGATAATAGGAACCACCCTAGAATTCATTGTCATAAAAATGAGGGCCTAACTATAAGGAACACTTTTGTAGAAGAGACTTTTAGTCTAAAGTTTCAATTTCAGGCTCAAAACATATCATTCCACCTAAATCTGCATTCTGGACCACTGTGCAACGCGACACCAACCTGACTTCTACCAAACCTCAACCCGATGTTGACCCGACCTAAACCCAAAATTTACCCAACATCAACCCGATATTGGATCGACATAGACCTTAAATTTGCCTTACATTGATCAGACATCGTTACGACTTGCTTCGGGAAACCTTCTCACAGCGGCTTTCTCTATCCGGACCCAGAAGGCTCTACATTCCACTCAAAATATTGCCATATGATTTTTTCCCGTAGCGTATAGGATAGATTTTATGACCTACCCGAATTAGGAAATCAGAATGTAGAAAAATGTGAAAGAGTCAGGGATTTAGGGATTATCTTAGACTCCAAACTAACTTTCATAGACCATTACAATACAATTATTCACAGGGCAAATAACATGCTAGGCTTTATCAAGCGCTTTTGCTATAACTTTCAGGACCCATACACAATTAAAACACTATATATTGCCTATGTGAGGTCAATACTGGAATATTGCAGCATTGTATGGTCTCCATTTTCAATCACGCACGAAGAAAGATTAGAATCAGTACAAAAGCAATTTCTATTATATGCCCTTCGTAAATTAGGTTGGACATCATTTCCTCTTCCATCATATGAAGCACGCTGCATGCTTATAAACATACAAACATTAAAAGAGCGTCGTGAATATGCAATGGTTTCGTTTGTAAACGATATCGTTTCGCAGCGCATTAACTCAGCAGAACTTTTATCAAAATTAAATTTTTATGTACCTACTCGACAACTCAGAAATCGAAATTTATTTGCCGTAGCCCATCATCGCACAAATTATGCAAAATTTGGGCCATTAAATCGCATGATGGCGTCTTACAATCAATACTGCGAAACCATTGACTTTTCAATGTCTCGGCATAAACTAAAACAATATTTTAACTCCATACGGAATCATAACTCGTAGGAAGTAAAAATATAATAGCTGACAATATATTTTTTAATATTCTTAAGAAAAACAAATTTGTATATGTATTTGTACTAGTCTACATCGGTTGATGAAATAAATAAATAAATAATAAACAGAATGCTAGGGTTAGTTACGGACACGTGCTAATGCACGTATTGTTTAGAACACCCCAACATAGGCGTCGCCAGGGGGGTGCAGTCGTTGTTTGTTATACAAATTCATAAAATACCGATGACATATGCCGCAGTATGACTGAAAATTCAGTTTCGGTTAAACGATGATCGACCTAGTAATCCATACGGTATGGTGTTCAGCTAATCGACGTCTAACCTAATCCTGTGTGTGTGTTTTTTTTATCTGTGTCACTGCCCTGCTGACGGCATTCCAAGTGCCCTCCTCTCGACACATTTCAACGACGACATTCTCCACGTTAAGGACGGGTATCTCTCTTCGCACTGCCTCGAACATTGGACAGTCGAAGACCACATGTTCCGGCGTTTCATCGACGTTCCTCCGGACAGAGGGGTGACGCTGCGTATCCGAACCGATGCAGATATTTCCTGAAGCAGCCATGGCCAAACAGGAACTGCGTTAGGTGTAAGTTAACTTCTCCATGCTTACTGTTCACCCAGATCGAAAGAATCGGTATTAGTCTATGTGTCTATCTACCGTTCTCCGTCGTGTTCCCGTCGAAGTCGAACTCTCCGTGCATCACATCCGTCGAAGTCGAACGCCACGACCCAACATTGAGCAATTACGGGACGCCGGAGTTGCCCAGGACTACCCGCAGCAGCTGGAAGTTGCACTACCCACGGAAGAGCAGCTTGGCGCAGCTACTCTTGAAGCACTGGCTAGAGCGCTGCACTGGGTAATTGCCAAGATTTGGGAGGAGTGGATGGAAGGTATAGTATGCCCAATCTACAAAAAGGGCGACAAGTTGGATTGAATGCAACTACCGTTCGATGACACTGCTGAGCGCCACCTACAAGGTACTCACCCAAATTCTATGCCACCGCCTGTCACCATTTGCAAGAGAGTTCGTGTGGCAATACCAGGCGGGATTCATGAGTGCCCGCGCTACCACGGACCAAATATTCGCGATTCGGTAAGTTCTACAGAAATACCGCTAATACATCATCATTTCCCATCGACATACGACACAATCGATCGAGATCAGCTATGGCAGATTAGGCACAAGTACGGATTTCCGGATAAACTGACGCGATTGGTCAAGGCGACGATGAATCGAGTGACGTGCTTTGTTCGAGTATCGGGGACACTCTCGAGTCCCATTGAATCTCAAAGGGGGTTATGGTAAGATGATGGACTTTCGTGTCTGGTATTCAACATCGCGTTAGAAGGTGTGATCAGGGGCCACATTGCGCATCTCGAAACGAAACACTTGTTGTACGAATACTTGCATGAAAAAGTTTTTCGTTTCGAGATGCGCAATGTGGGCCCAGAAGAGCTGGGATAGACACGAGTGGCACGATCTTCAGGAAGTCCATCCAGCTTCTTGGCTTCGCCGATGTCAGACATCATGACACGGAACTTTGAGACGATGGCGGAAACGTACATCAGACTGAAGGCTGAAGTTAGGCGGATTGGACTTGCCATCAACACATCGAAGACAAAATACATGAACGCAAGACAACGAGTTCAGATTGACGGTAACGAAATCGAGGTAATCGATGTGGGCTCACTGGTGATACCAGCAGAGAAATGCAAAGACTTGGGCTCCGGAGGACGCTCCGGTCGAATAAAATTCGCCGCCGCACGAAGTTGACTATCTACAAGACGCTTTCTCGTCGTCGGGTCTCCCTTCGTGTGGGTAGTGCACGTTGCTGATACTGTAGTTGAAGAAACGGCCCTTAATCCTCAACTTGCACATCCTCGTGTTGATCGGCTGCTACGACTTCGTCATAGATTAACCTATCGCAAGCCGGGAAGCCGAGCGATTTGCAGTTCCATGTTCCGAGTTTCCAAATGTGATATAAAATAACTATCAATTCACCCTTGAGCATAAAATAATCGATTAGTTGTTAAGGTTCAATTTACTTTGATGCTTTTTCGAAAAATTCAAATGCAGTTTTTTTCGACCCATCATTTCAGATTGCAAAAAAGCTCGCGTCATTTTGTGTATAATAGCAAAAAGTGTAGAATGACGCGAGCTTTTTGCAATCTAAAGTAATGCGTCGAAAAAAACTGCATATGAATTTTTCAACAATGCATCAAAGTAAATGAACCTTATTCGAGTAATAAAAAATGGGTCATCACCGATTTTTTATGTGATTGTTCTGAAAAACAAAAAAAACTAAACGTCAACTCTACCGAGGGAATACATTTAAAAAATTTATCACATATTTAATGGATGAAATCCATGTGATTTACACATAGCTTTCCTATGAGCACATAGCAGCAAATCCCACCATATGCATATTATGAGGTCCATGAAATTCATATGAAAAATCATATAAAATTAATGTGATCGCATAAATGTTATGTGAAATTCAGATGAATTCCATTAATTTTGATGATGGATGAAAATCATGTGCGTTTCCAATGGAAGCTACATGAAAACTATTTTCGGTGTAGCATAACCATAAAAACACTTTGCATACGGGGATATTCATTGGATGGAAGGGACCGTGGAAGAAGACACTAAAATGGAACATTTTTTATTCCGACTGTTTCATCTTACTATTCTTCTTTGGTACACTCATTCTTCAAAATGTTATGTTTTTGGATTTCGACTTATTTTACCCTATCGACGTTTTGACCTTCTTACCTTTCATCAATATGTCTGAAAAAGTGTCTACGTAGTGCTTAGTCTTTCTTTCAGTTTTACAAGTGGATAGGTAGAAAAAGAACTATTACGAGTGGATGTTCTTTCTAACAAATCTCTGACGTTATAAAAAAAACCAACGACTAATTATTACTATTTCTCGTCAATCAGAACCAGTGTCTATTCGGGTTTTGCAGTGTATCAATCATTAATAAATATCTAACAGTTTTATTAGGTTCCATTATTTACCTTAATTTCTACAACATTGCTGATGTATAGTTCTAGCTCAGTTATCATAGTTTATACAAATGTTCTTACCATCAGATCTACTGGTTAGCTTACCACTACTTATGTGACCATTAACCAAGGGATTTGTACTTTTGTCTTCTGGCAAACTAATATTCCTGGACTTAAGCAAAAATCGATCAATGGATTCGATTACCACTTGTTCATCAATACCCCGATTATTGTATGTATTTTCTAAGTTTAGTTTGTTCTGCAGAAGCACCGCATCCTGTCCGGTGCTGCCTACGGTAGTAGTAGGATCAAAATTTTCATCTGGCTCGGGTGGCTCTAGGCTTAGTACGGACTCTGCTGCAGCGTTATGTAAATCTAAAAAATGATTATACTGCTCATTTTCTAATGGTTTTTCTTTCTCTAGTATTTCATCGAAGGAATCATCTTCGATAGAAACTATTTCTTCGTCCATCAAGCTATTGTTATCGTCCTGTAGCTTGTTTAGACCCGAAGAAGACGACACAAGAATCGGTTCGGAAATCTCCGAAATCCTTTCGTCTTCCTCGTTGGGTTTGCTTAACGAAATGCAGGTTTTTTCCTCTAAAGTGAAAGTGGAATCTTGAGAAAAGTCAACCCTAGTTGGATCGCCTGGGGAACTGAGTGAAGAATCCCGTGCTCGTTGCGGTGCATAATCAAGACTCTTCGGGGGTTGCCTGCCTTCACTAGTGCTTGTACCGGACTCCGTTGTGGACAACTCATGACGGGGAGATCGTAAAAAGTAATCGGGAATTTCCCTATCCCGATTGGTAGGTGTATGTGACTGTGATGGTACACGCGGTGATAAGATCTCGTCCAGCACATCTTCAAAGTTGAAAAGCGTATCGTTCGAGGCCATCAGATTTTTATTCACTCCCATTGCCGTGAGAGACTCCATACATCCAGTGCTGCGAAACCATACGAAACACACGAGTCAAATCAAACTACATCCAATGCTGATGGTAAACTGGAATATGTATCTACCTGGTGCTCTCTATGTAATGGGAAGCTTCCTTGTAGTATGAAGTTTTGTTATAAAATGATTCGTCTTCGCTCTCCTCTATGATGGGTGACAGAGTTCGCTTATAGTTTATTATCATTTCGTTATCTTTTGCCGCTGATGTTGATGGTGCATTGCTAGCTTCATCCAGATCTCCGTATTGAATTCCATAGTGATTAGGACTAGTGTCATTTCTGGAAAAAAAAACAAATTGGGCTCTCCAATTATTATCGCAAGATTCGTAAGGAATATGCTTCAAAGCGTAAAAATTGTTTTAGCCATATCTCTAGACCAGGATTTAAAAAAATGTATAGTTACTTACTCTTCAAAACATTCTACGGCTTCTTTGGTACCCTAAAACAAAGATTCATAATTAGGATAAGTTCATTCCATTACACACACAAGCGAACAAACCTGCGCATGTGGCAGCATTTCCGCCAACTGTTTTCTTAGCAAATCGTACGTCGAATCGAGGTTATCATTATTTTCATCCAAATCGTACGTTTCATTGCTGTCGCAGTCGTTGTTATTGGCCGCGCTTCCGCTGCATCCAGGCTGTGCATGTAAAAACCAACCGGCATCGTACGTATGGCCACTAAAGTAATCCTCATCGCCTTGTCCTTGGATGATCAAATCTTCATCGTCAATTTCGCAGGCCGTTGCACTGGCCGATAGCCACCGGTCCCAGTCAGCCGTTGTCGGACATCCTAGCTCAATTGGGGTATTCATCGGCGTCGCGGTTGGTTTATCAGAGGCAGCATCATCCACCATTGCATCGACCATGATCTCCGGTAAGCTATACCCTTGGTCTTTCACAAATGTATCAGATGGATTAGCCAGTGTGTGCGTTGCATTTATTTGGGACATTGTAACCGTTTCATTCACTGGGTATATTTGCTCTAGTTCATCATCGCCATCATCCTCATCATTATCCTTGGTAACATTTGGCTTATTAAAGTTAGTAAAAGCATTTTCACTTTCCTCTTGATGTTGTTTATTATCACTGTTTGAGTCGCCCAGCTGCTCGATACCATCAGCCATCACATAGGTTTTCTCGATTGCATCACAGAACAGGGCTTGCTTGGCCATTGGCTTACTATTTGCCTCCATCACATCGAACGCTTTCCTTGCGACAAAAGGTGTGCTACATTCCAACACCACTCCACTATTGAAATCATTAAAATCATCATCCATTGGAACTTCCGCTTCCAATAGTTCCTTTTCTTCACATTCCTTGATTTCTTCAATTCGACTTTGGCATAAAAGTAATATTTCATCTACTAATTTGGTCGCTTCCTCTCGTACCAATTCATGCAGCATTATATCTGGAGTGGTAACTTTTTCACTAATCTCAATTTCATCCATACCACTGTCGGAGGACGAGTTCTTTTCATCACAGATTGCGTTCCGGTTTTCAGTATCATTCCTGTGATCTGCCAATTTCCCAAAGTCCTCTGGGTAATCCACGAAATTGGATCCATCATCGCTGTCATCGCTCTCATCTTCGCCATCAATAGCGATGTCCAATGCACGAAGTGCCTCTTCTATACTATTGGTTTCTTGAACGGATGAATTATCCTCCAGACTATCCATTGGCGTTACATCCTCATGAGCACCACATTCCTTGGTTGTGCCTGTCGCTGCAGATGTAGGCTCATCGTAGAAGCTTGCCCTTTCGCTGATGCTGATCGTAATGTCATCGAGTCGCGTCGGCGGTGGGGTTGACATGTTCATTGGTTCAGAATAATCTTCCTCATCAATACCGCCCGTTTCCAAGTCCGTCGAGCAGCGGTCAATCAACGGCCTCTCGTCTCCGAAACCAACCGAATTCTTCAGTGAGGCGGTTTCCTGCTCTATTGAGTAACTGGTTTTAGTTCCCGGCAATGGAGACGCTGAACTCAACGATTCTTTGCTGGACAAAAGCATATTGGAGTTTGAATCATCGTTATCGTCCTGCAGCACTGTTGACAAATCCTGCCCGTCTTTGGATACATTTTCTTTGCCAACATGACGAGCCGATTGAGTTTTCGCATAGTTTTCATTCTGGTATTGCAGCAGGTGGTAGTTTTCGATGCCATCCAATTCGTGTGATGATACGGATTCATTTTGATATTGGACCGTTTGATCCAAAAGATTATCAGTCGATAGCTACAAAATGAGGACAACAAATGTTAGGAGTAGGAGAAAAGGATGTAATGTTGGCCTAAATGCCCCTAATTTGGACCCATACATAAATTCATCGACTAAATTTTCAATAGCGACCAAAAATATCCATTGGTACCGTCCCAGTGACGGTCATCTAGATAAAATTGATAAATAGCAGATGTTTAGCGATGGGCCCAATCTTAGATCTATAGGCCAACATTAGAGCAATTTCCCCTATATACATTATTAAAAAATAGACACATAGAGAACTTACATTCGTAGGACTGCTCGGGATGATAGCGCCAGATTTTTTAGCATCCAGCGAGTTCAAAGATTTTAGAATAGGATACTCGGTATTCTTAACTTCCTCTATGTTACCATCGTTTTCGAACTTCTATAATTTAGAACCAATGAATAGTAAAATCTTGGAATCGCACTATACCAACAATTCACCTTAAAATGGCCTTTTTTCTTCTTACAGAAAACACACATGCCAATGACGGCACCGATTCCAATACACGTGAGCACACTAAACAAGGCTACATTTTTTTCACCTGCAATGCAAATATTATTTTAGAATACTTGGTGCAATTTCTACATTTGAAAAATAATAAAGAATAAATTAGGATAAATTGAATGCCTTTTTTTTTTTTTTTTTGTAGAAGCTGACGAGAATCCCGGACTTTGACAATTCATCTCCGAATTTTGGAGGCTGGATCCTGCTATTTATGCTATTTTGTTCGGTATGTAGTGTAATTATTTTTCCATCACATCTATTTTCCCAAATCTTGATTTCAGCTCATGGATACACAGTAGAGTATCTTAAGATACTTGATGAGAAGGCGTTAAATGACGTTTTCTCAGATGCGAAATGGACAGTGCATAAATACGCTCTTCGCCAAAAACTTATGTTTTGGGAGGAAAGTGTGCTTTTCCAGAAGACAGTTGCGGAAATCGGGCCAGTTGAAGTTGAAAGGAGTAATGGCCAAGTAGGTGTACCTGAAACGACTCATCGAAAACTACATAATTCCGACTACGGTAACAAAGGCACTATTGGACACAATTTTGAACCGCAATGAGAAATGGAAAATCGCAAAATCGTTTCTGGCTCACACAATCGTGGATTACTACATTGCAAATCAGCTATACTTTTCTTTACCGGATATGGCACGATTTGCTGAATTGATAACCGATCGATTTCCACCCGAGATTACCGTACGGGAAATAAAAGTTTTCATGATTTTATGTTAAAGTATGTCTTCTTTGTTATTGCAGATAACGTACTATAATCCTTGCGACAGTTCTACTAACAAGAAGCACCCCTCTGGGATGCTGTATGACTGGTTCCACAACAGGAAAAAACATCTGTTCTGCCCAATGCCAGTAAACCAACCAAAAAGTCAACTTTTTTCTCAGAACAAAAACTAACTGCAGCGCAACATCCACAAGAAGGTATTTGATTTTTTTTTAATTTATTGATAAAATTAAACTTATCATACATATTTACGTCACTTACAGAGAGCAATCGCTTGGATATCATCAAAGTTTTGATGCGCAACAATTTTGCAACAAGTGATATTTTTTCGAAACAGTGGATGGACTCGATTTTGCTGAGGCTTAGAAGCACTCAACAAGATAGAGACATAAATAAAGTAACGGTTCTTACTAAGTGGCCTTGCTGGTAGTTATTTTATTTAATAGTTTTTGTTACCTTCAATGTTGCTTATAAATTAGGAATACCATTTTTTTCAGGTTTACGTAGACTTAAATTTTCTCTATGAAAAGTCGGACGAACAGTGTAAATTATTCAATAAATTAGAATGGTTTTGCACAAACTTCGATGAATATGAATATGTAGTGAATTCGCCTTAGATCTGCAATTTCCGGAGAGCTGTGAGCTGTTCTGGGCATCAGCAGATATTTTTATAATATTGAGTACACCAATAAATCCAGAAATACCATAATATTGCAGTTGGTTACACATCTGGATGCTCCGGAGATGAACCAGCGTCTGGCTGAAAATCTTCTTAATAAAGACAACCACCACCACCTACACATTTGGAAAGCCACGAACAATGGACTGTTTTCTGTGCACGGGGTCATGTTCAACCCAAGAAAAGCTTTTGGATCACCTAACTACCTTCCATGGAACGCCATCTACCTTCACCTATAAGTGTACCACCATTTCGTTTCCAGATATAAGGCGATATAAAAGGCATGTTAGCGTAACGCATGCTGTACTTTTCAAGACGAAAAATGTCAAATCAATAGTTCACGTCAATACGACAGAAATCGATTATTCCGACCCACCGTTTATACCAACATTGCAAGGCCAGCCAAGTGGACATCAACCACCAGACCGAACCAACGAATATAAAGAGGACAAAAAAGAGAAACCGAAGACGGAAGAAGAAATCTTAGATTTAAGAAACAGTTTGAGGGAATCTTTTTTAAATTTTTCGCAACATCTGTATAGTAAGACAAATTTGACAAGAAAAGATGTTATTGATCTCCAGCGAAGTGTAACAGAAGATGTTACAGTTAAACTGATTGGTTTTGCTTTTATGATGATATCGTCCTTACCAGAAAATAGAGAATATCAGCGTTTGATAAATGATATTACTGATCCTTGGAAGTTCATATCTACAGAACAGAAATTTGTAACCCAGATGAAAAATCTAGGTGTTGATGAAAAAATGCAAATAGTCGAGTTTAAAAATGAAACAAATAACGTTGTCTCCAAAGGTTGCCTAATGCCATTAAAGCATCAAATTAAGCAATATTTTGAATCTGGGTCAATCTTTCAAGAAACAATTCTTAATATGCAGCAGTTAGAGCAAACTAATGCTATTACAAACGTTGTGCATGGTACACTGTGGCAATCAGCGAAAAACTGTTTCAAAAGCATGCACGTTGTACCTTATTTCTTGTTCAGTGATGAAGCTGAAATAAATGACGCAATAGGAGCATATTCAGGAACACACAAAGTGTGGGGTATATATTACCATTTCCCAACGATTCCGTCACATTACCTGGGGCGATTAGAGAACATGGGTCGCATTGCGCATCTCGAAACGAAAAACTTTTTCATACAAGCGTTCCTACAAAATGTCTTTCGTTTCGAGATGAGCAATGTGCCCCCATGTTTCTAGCTGGGTTTATTAAGGCTAGCGATGTATCAGAACATGGTCCATCAGCGGCATTGAAAGACCTCATTGATATTCTAATCGATGTAGAAAAAAATGGAATTGTTCTGAAAATCGGAGAAGAAAATATTAAAGTACATTTTGTCCTAGCATGTATTCTTCGAGATAATCTAGGAATGAACACACTGATAGGTTACAGTTCATCTTTCAGTGCATTGGTATATCACCGATTTTGAAAAATAAGCAAGTAGGGGCAAGAGGGGCATAGTGAGCATCCCGTGCACCAGCTTGGACTTCCAGCCGTTCGGAACAAATTGGTTGGTAGTAGGATCAATATCATAATTGACTTCTTGTCGCGAGATTTCACCAATACAACGTTGCTAGTGTAGCCGTGTAAAATCGATTTGTTTATTATTTTCAACCACGAAATCAGCTGTCAAAGTGTTCGACCTGACAGCGGTTTGTTTTTTATTTTCAACCAGTAAAACGCTTGTATTAGTGAAACTGCTCACTAATACTAACCGTGGTAGAGAACTCTATGATATTGAACCTACTGCCAGTTAATTTGATTCATGCAGCTAGAGATCCAGGGCCAAACTACGGGATGCTCACTTTGCCCCACCTGTTCACTATGCCCCTCCTCCCCCTACAACGCACAGGAAATGGTGCATTTGGATCCAAACTTACGTCGAACTAAAGAGAACTATACATTAGACCTACCTAAGGATTTTAAGGAGACAGGCATCAAAGAAGAATCGGCATTCAACAGATTACAGCGTTACCACGTTGCTGATCATTCTGTAGTAGATCCAATGCATGACTTGTACTCGCATGGAATTTGTAGCTATGATTTATCACTTGTTCTCAGATACATGATTCAAGATTTGAACATTTCACTTCAGGTTATCAACTATAGAATCCAAATGTTCAATTACGGTGACACAGAAAAAAGAAATTTGTTTCAAAAAATCACACGAGAACAGATAAAATCCACGTCATTTAAAATGACTGCTAGGGAAATGCAGCTGTTCGTTCGTTATTTTTCGCTACTGTTTGGATATTTATTTCCAGAAAATAATGAAGTATGGAATTTCGTATTATCGTTAGTTAAGTTGACTGATTTAATATTACTCCCAGCATTTAACAATGAATTATTGAAAACATTAGAAGAGCAAACAGTACTTTATCATACAGTCTACAAAAAAACTGTTCAAAGAAAAGCTTTTTTTTTATTTCGTGGTAATTACAGTGGCAGCAACTTGCTTAAACTCTACACTGGACCCCTTTTATTGATAAATTTTGCTTCTATGAAGCTCTATTTTAAATCAACACACAGACGTTCCTAGGCTATGGTGCCCGTTTGGTCACTGTTGTTTTTGTGCTGATCCAAATAGTTTTGATAATATAATTGCGCATTCTTGTTTTTTTTAAAAGGTTGATTTTTGTCCCAGTCTTGTCTTCTGTCGTCACTTATTTAGTAATTTTGTCTTGTGTGTTAACCCCCACTTGTCTTGTTTATTGTGTCAACTTGTGTCTATTGTCCTTCCCCATCTGTTTTTAAACTCGTTCTGTTACTCTGTCATGACTAATTTCATTGATATATAGTAATATCAATTACAGGATAATATGGTTGTTTCTCGATTAATTTTTTAAAGGGAAGCACCAGCTCCTGCAAACATTGCATCCGATCGTCGATCTGGCAGCTCGCACACGCCTACCAACACCACCTGCAGGTAGAGGAAAATTTCCCTATCTGATGATAGTGCCAGCACGCGCGGGCGAGCCACCAGTTACGCCAAATCGACGACCAAACGCACCGCCTACAAAAGCCGATACGCTCCCTTGAAAAAGTTATAGAGATTTCTACTAATTAATGAATTATTAACAATTACCTCTCATGATCCTTGGCTCCACTATGATTTTAACTTACCACTTTTTGATTATTTATCAAATACCTCTCGGAGTATATAACGCCCCGATGCCTTGTTGGTTCTGGTCTCATTTCGATTGGTCATGAATTTATTTGATATACTGTTCGAAGTAGTTCTTTGAGTTCCAGCTTGTACGTGTCTCACGTCATATGATTCGCCATTCATAAAGATAATGGTTAAAAGGGAGTAAAACATACATAAAGGTAGATTAGTATTAGTTGTACTTGATCCAAACAATAGAAAGAAGCATAGATGACTTAGTAGAAAAATAAAACTAATATATAACTAAAAGTGCAATGGATAAGTGTTAGTTCCGGGATCATTTTAGTGTTTGCACTATTTGCAGCAATTGTGATAAGATTATGCGACACTGCTACTACTACTATGTTAAATGCATGACTTGTCAATTTTCGCAACGCAATGTCTTTCAATAAATCACTCAATCAATTTGATGTTTGAAAATTTGCTAGGGTTTTG